AGGAATGCAAAAGGGGGTCTTTAAATTCACCATTTTGTGTACATTTAAAAGCCTCTTGAATTTGATCCTATAACTTTATGTAGAAACTTAAAAAAGTAATATAATGAAAGGTTTCCTACTTTTCTATCAATTTACTTTACTTTTGGTGTTCCGATTGTGCATCCTGTCACATGTTAAGTCCAGATAATGTGAATTTTTAGCAGGAAAAAAGTGTGAAGAGTGAACAGTGTGTTCTTGCAAAATGATGAGCTCCACAGCATGTCTCTATTTAGCTCTGAACCATCTCTCTTTCTCCTCTCTTAATATGTATATTTAATGACAGCCAGATATATCTTGTCCCTTGGGTGACTTTGAAACATTTCATAAAGTACATGGCACGGCGTTAAATCAGATTATATTACCAAAGTCTACATCCTCATAAATATGTTTCAACTCAAATTAAGGGTAAATGAATCCTTTGAGGAGATGAAATTATAATTTGAATGTGAATCAGAAAGGAAATCAACGCTCACCACACAGCCTCTTTAAGGAAATGTGTTCTTTTAAAATCACTAATATGAAATATTAGGATTTCTGCTCATGAATAATGATGTCCAATTCAGAACGCAAGAAGTAAGTGCCGGTGATAAACTAAATAACAATAAGAAAGTGTGAAGAAGGTGCTGCTTGTTTTGCAGAAGAGAAAAGATAAGAGACCATAAAGTTAAAAATATCCACAGCTAGTGGGGGTTTTTTTACCTCAAAACTCTTCATTAGAAATGGAAGAACATACTAGAGCTGCTACCGTAAATATCAGAGTTGGTGCTAATAAATGTATACCTTGGGAATTGTTTATACGTCTGCACACTCAATTTCAGATTTCACATTCTCTCTGATGATGATGCTGACTGACGAAACTACTAAGTGCTGCTACTCGTTCATTGTAGCTGTTTTTGAGCTGCGTGTGTGTCAAGCAAAGACAGCACAGAGGACAGGGCCGAGGGATTGAGACAGACAAGGAGAAGCAGCACTTCTTAGGAAATAATTATCTCTCTCATCCCCCCGCAGCTTCCTGTGGGAGATCTAGCCGTGATGGCTGCCAGTTTGCTGCATGGCTGTTTCTAAACCAAAGGCTTTGTTTTTCCCTCTGTGAGCAGAGTTGTTGACAAAGCTTCTCACTATTTACAGCCACATTTTCTTCAGCTCTCTCATACCCAGAATTACATAGGAAATCTTCCTGGCAGTTTACCATTGGCAGTATGGGATAGTCTGTTGTCATAGCTTACACACTGGAGGTACACTGCACAAAATCATGCATTACCACATTTAAGTACAACTAGCAAAATGTTTCTTTTTTCTCAGTCATCTTGAAACATTGATTTACATTTATTACTTTCTATCCTCCCATAAAATGAGAACTAGTCACGAGATGTCACCACCAAAAACAATTGATTTATTTGAGAACTGTCCTTGAAGCTGGGATAGGTAGCAATAGAGCAAGAGACAGCTAGGTTTTGATTTTAATGAGTATACAACTGAAAAACATCCCACCCCCTCCCTTCAGGCCTCCCTCCAAAGCCGCTCCTCCAAATCACATTTTGTGAGTGCACAGGCAGAGTGAGCGCAAGTAGGCAGGTATAGGCCAGCCAATCACTTCATTCGGACAAATGAAATGACTGGACATGCTTATTACAGTCCTGTGACAGCCACAGATATTGTTTTAATTTTTGTACTTGAGCATTTGATTTATTGATGGTTGCCAGGATGTAAAGAGAATTTCAATAAATATAACGCTAAATATGCTTCTGAAACAAATTGTCTTTAAGTAAAAGGTTGAGGTACTTGTACTTAATTATGTTACTTTATATTTCTACTCTACTATTACATTTCAGAGGTTATTGCACTTTTTACTCTATGTTTACAGATATAGTTACTAGTTAGTTTTCAGATCATATATAAAAATCATATGATATAGGCATGTGACCTTGTCGCATTTCAGATGTCTACAAGTTCCACGTCCAGGCTTGCTCATAGTTTCCACTAGCTTCTGACCATGCAATCTCTCATTAAGGCTTTCTTTCATTAGCCTTTGTGAAAAAATAAGCATGTTCCTGTAGTTTACTTTCTATATTGTATGACAAATCAGCATCCACTGGAGCAGTTGCAATTAGATATTGAAACAATTTCTTTGTGAAAATACGAATATCTACAGCTCCTGTGAAAGTTTACCAGTGTGGCAGCACTCAAAAAAAGGCAGCTACAGAAAGGCTGAATAAGCAATATTGGTTTGTTTTTGAAAAAAAACCCCAACACTCTTTATATGGAGTGAATCACTCGATATATTGTTGAGTCAGGCTATTGCGTTCTTACAAATGTCAGTGGGTTTTTAAATGATTTGAACTTGTTATTTCAGGGATTTCTCATGTTTCACTTTGGCTTTCTGTAAAGCAGCATTATTATTTCAGTTTCCTTGCATTGTGACATCTTCACCAGATGTTTCTGTTGGATCTCTGCCTTTACTCGCAAACTTAAGTGTTGATTAAAATAATAGATTTGGTTGTGTCAATAACAGGCCATCAGCTTTCAAGAGGGACGAGGCTGACAAGGGGATGTTTTTAGTGGTTCCCATTTAAAATCATACAGCACATTTGGTGAAACCGTAGTATCCATGTATGAATGCTCTTTGTCCTCCATCTCCTCCAAATGCTAAACACAAAGCCAACAGCAACAGCTAATGCTGCTACGAAATTAAGACTGAAGTCAAATAGAGCATCTGCGATTTCAAACAAAAAGACAACTCATGCTATCTTGCTTTAGTAGAGTAGGAAGGGGAGCCAGAGGTAGAAGGGATGACTAGGTCCTCACCGTGGTGCTACATCTTGAGTTTGACAGGACACTCCATCCACTGGCGCCTGGAAGAGAGATGATGACCAGGGTGACATCACTCTGCAGACCATTGTAGGCTTTTCAGAAGTGAGTGCGTAGTCAGATATGATGACTATTGAGGAACACAAAGCCAGTGGTGAGAAAGGAGAACAAAGGGGAGAGAAAAGTGACAGATATTTGGGACAGTGATAGTGAGATAAGGTGGAGCTCAGGTGGGCAGCCATGCAAACTTCTTCAGACCAACGTTGGAGAGGTGAAGAAAACAAACCAATGGGAACAAAATGTATCGTGCACATCAACGTTGTATGTGTTGTATGCCAGAATTGATTCACTTATGGTGGGTTTCATAATGGAAACTCTTTCTGAGAAATTCAAGGATGAGTGATGAGCCTTGCTTTGTTCTTTGGCTACCATGGGAACACAGACAATAATAAGAAATCCTTGGTGACTTGATAGGCTCTCTTTTACCTCTCCACCTCCACCTTGCAAAAGACATTTCATCATGACATTTGACTCTTATTAATTAAATTGTTTCTCGATTGTTGGTAGTAACCTTTAACCATACCATGTATGTTAAACACCTCCTTCTGTTGAAACTTTGAAAGGCTGAAAGAGGGATGTGTCCTTCATCACATTGAATGTCATTAAATGAAAGCACAGCAACTGTACAGAGTGATGAATTTCTTAGATAATAAGCCACAGTGTATATACTAATACAAACTCACATCAGTAAAGTTATTTACGTCATTAAACACCAACTTAACACCTACTGATACTTCAGATTTTAATTTGTATGAAGCATTCTCGCAGGACTTTTCACCTGTATCTTATTCCACAGTCTACCGTTATCCTATCGATTTTCAATGTATGACCATGAGAAGGACCTCATAGCTCTTTTGTAAGAGCTAAATTATTGGCCTTATCACCATGTTATCATTAAAGTTAGTTGGTGGAGATATTTTACGTAGAACAGAGATTTTTAAACGGGGAGGGAAAGTTTAAGGGCCACAGAAGGAGTAACATGAGGCAAAGATAGAGCATGAGGTGAAGGGCAATTAAGGTACCTACTAGAGGTATTGAAAATGCATTTGTGTGCAAATATTTAACAACTATGTTATGCCAACATGAACTAAAGCAGAAAATAACACCTTGAGAAACACATCAGAATATCTTTTAGTAATTTAGTAATTTAATATAAAATAAAACATAGAAAATTTATTGAGATGTCCCTTGTTTTGTTGTGCAAACCAAAAGGGGTGTAAAGAAAAGGATACAATGATTAGGATACAATTAATTAGTTAGTTAATGGTTAAGTCCTTGCTATTGAGACATTTGAATGGGCATAAGAGGTGTAGAGACAGAAAGGTCCTCCAAACTTCTGCTTCAAAACACTCACCTTCCTCACCAAGTTGTGCTGGTGGCAGAAGCCGTACAACACATCCACAAACATTAATACTGCATAACATAGCCTACTAAATTATGAACGCTGGATCCTGGAAAACACGTTTGACCAGTAAAACTTGTAATATAAACATCACCTCCATAGAAATGTATTTTAAATTAACAGAAGGAAATGCCCAAAATAATAAACAGAAACAGTCTTGTAATTATTTGATCTCTCACACGTCAAATTATTTGAGATTTGTTATAAAATGTCAACTGTGCAACACAGCACAGAAACACCACACTGGGGCTCAACGTGAACAAATGTACAATACCTGAGTACATCACCATGACACCTGGTTATTCACTGTCCATTTTGGGAGTATGGTGCTGTACCTCTCCAGAAGCGCATATGGTGTCAGCGGTTGCTTTGTGGATGGTAATGAACTCAAAAGAGTTACTGTTAGCACAAGCACCAGCTGGCAGTGGGTGGGAATGTCCGGTGTCTCGTCTGCTTGAATGGCGATAAAATCAGCAATCTTTACTTCCTCTAGAATTTAATCCTTTACTGCTTTAACAGCTCATTTTGTACCGTTTGACATGCCTTTAAAAACTGCAAGTTAGCTGTCCTAGGTGCTCCTCCAGCACGCTGTCTATAGGGAGGCAACTAAATCCAACAATCTCCTGGAAATGCCAAGGTTGACTCAGGCTCGATATGCCCACGCAAGGCCAACTCAAAAGCTCCACAAAACTTCACACAATCAATTATTTATTTATTATTTGCTGCTTACAGATCAAAGTACAGTAGGTTACATCAACAGCTGGCATGTAACAGTTGGAACATAGTCAAGAAGAGAAGACTGATGTAAACACAGCAGGCTTCTGACATAAATTATTTCGATTGCTGATGTTTCATGAAGTCAGAAATGCCTTCCACTTGTTTTTAAGGCCTTGAAGACACACAACTTGAGCTTAAGTGGTAAAAGATGACAAAATAATCCTCCATTTGTTAATGAGCTGTGGTAACATCTACACCTTCTCCGTGGCAACTGACTGAACTCCATCTGCTGATGAAGGTATGTCTGAAAGCTATGGAAAAACACTACTGTAGGCTACTTAGCAAAACAGTAGAAATCCTTCTGCAAGTTCACCTATGTGGGGGGGATTGAATATTGTACTCAAATATTCCTCCTCCTGCTTCTCTTCCTAACTGTAGTTGGGGCAGATAAAGGAGAAATAGATACTGGTATGTTAGGTCTGTGTGTCAGAGAGAGACAGAGATCATGACATGTTAATGTGTAAATAATCCTGCTGGCTTCATTAGCTGTGATGTGTACTGCGCTGCGGTGGCCATAACTTATTCTCATCTGCCTTAAAGACAGCCCTGCTCATCCCACACCACCTCTACTCTCTCTGGAGACCACACACTCATTAGGAAAAGCTAGATCAATGGCTATGCTGAGAGTTAGAAGTGTGACTCGAGGAAGGGTGCATCTTTCAGTGGAAACAAGGAAAATTCACAGACAAATTATGTAAGGGTAGAACTGGATGCCCTTAACAGTACAAAGGCAGGGTGGAGGACACAGCAGTGTGTTGTTCAAGTGAAACACCTTTAAATAAAAGTTCTGTTAAAGGACAGATAGAAGCAAACCAAATGGTTTCAGTATGAAACTGTTTCTTTCATTACAATTGGGAAACATTTCAAAAATTCCAGCTCAAAACAGCATAACATTAGTAACAAATAAATACTTTGATCATCCCTGAGTCTTACATATTGTGCCAAAGATTAAAAAAATAAAACCTTGAGTGTTGTTTATCAGATTGCAGTTTAAAAACACAGCTGCACAGAAATGCACTTTCATCTCTTCAAATGCATCATCACTCCTGTGAATCGCTACCTTAAAAATGTACCCAGACCTATAAAAAGAAATCAAAGGTCCCACATGCATGAGAAGTAAAGATCAAAAGGAACTGGTATCAAAATATTTGGGCGTTGAATCTTCATTAAGAACACACCGAAATACTGATGAGACAAGTGTTGAAGGTCAGTCTTTAGTCCTCAGTGGTGGGACAGTGGGGGGAGGGGAGCCACTTCTGTGGCCTCCTCTTCAGGAACGTCTGCTCGATCATCCGTCGTCATTAAAGTGAAATAGCTTGTGTGCTGAAATTTGAGCACTTCATTGCCCCAGCTGGTCCACCCGGGTTGAAGACTCCTGGCAAACAGCTCCAAGCTCTTGGCTTCAGCTCCGACGTAGGGCTTCAACACCTCTATAGAAAGAATGTAAGGAGGAAGAGGAATGATCATTAACCCACTTTTTGCATTACTGATATGATTTTCACACCTGTAACAGAGATGTCACGGTGCACTCCCACACCTTAGTACACTCTAAATACATAATAGTAGACACTGTATAGCTGGAGACACATTCTTTAAAGAGTAACTGCACCCAGTCTCATCATAAATCTAGCTTGCCCTGCCAACTAGTGGTGACAGTATGTTGTATGACAGTATGTCTACACCCTATGCAGCAGTGATATAGCATGGCACTACAGTAGCATGCAACATCACGGCTGGGCGTTGTAACAAATACAACAGACCCATCCCCAGCTGGGCCGTTAACATGGTCACAGTTCAATAGACATATACTGTATCTTTCAAAGAGTAAAAGGTACAACTATATTTTTCCTTCCACACAATTTTGTGTAAAGGAGCTATAAGTGACATTCACTGGCACCAGCATCTCAGAACAAAACAAACCTACACTACGGCCCACCAGACTACATTGCAAAAAACAGTAATTTTACCTTGCAGATCATTGTAAAACACACTTCAAACAAAATAAAACTCTCCAAAACTGTCTTGGTTAGTCTTTCCACTGCTCCAACAAAATAAATCCTCAATTCACTGCTTAAGATGAGAAAAGAAACAGCCGTTACATCGCTCTTGTCAAAGCCAACAGTTTCACAGCGAGGGACTCATATACACGAACATGCACACGGGGCAAACCAGCTACCAAAACAAACAACAACAGAACAGCTCAGATAACAACACACGGGGGGGGGGGGGGGGGGGGGGTGATGTCATTCTCTGCTATACTAATGTTCAAAAATTTAATATACAGAATATGCTTTAGTATGTCAGACAATGGCATTAAATGTGTAAAAAAAACAAAAAAAAAACTACTAAAATATTAGGTTTTATACATTTTTAATGCTGTCAGGTTTTAAGATTACTGCACTGCATCCATTTCGGTAATAAGCAGAGGACAGCACTGGCAACTGCTCAGCTCCTTCACACCACACCACAGATTTTTTCTATGTGAAGACTGGCAGTGACCTTGAGTCTATAAGTGATGATATTCCAGGAGCGGCACACCTGACAGATACGTTTCACTTCCTCTGCCCTGGTGCGGCTCTGTCTGCTCTTGGGCATGCTCAAACCACCCTGACACTCACCTCAGCCAACACTCAGTGAGTTAATGAGCTCAAAAGTCTGATCCCCAAACCGATCCAACCTGCACAATGTGGTGTCCCGCCTCCCTTTTTCTCTTTCTTTGCACGTCAGAGAGTCACAGAGTGGAAAGGCCAAACATGCAGCCCTCTGACTAATTCAACCCCAACCGGTGACTCAGCTCTGAGAGTTGAACAGAGAATAAAAGGTCTAATTATTCTCTTTACTCTGAAATGGGACAGCATATGAAACTGAGAGAGGCCTAAAGACAAGGAAGGTGTTACTTAACTACTCTCTTGACAAGTAACTTATGCAGTTTTAGATATTTTACCTGGCAGACTCCTCGTATACTCTCTAGAACTGACCCAGGATTAACCGACTAAGAGGAAACTAATTATTTTGTACTGGACTGCCCCATTACTTCAATTACAGTACAGCAACTATTTTTTTAGAAAGTCTTCAATCAATGAATTTGATGCACAGGACACACGTGAAGTTCCACAGGTTCGATCTTTATCATAATTTACATACATCTAAATGGACTTTTTATCACCCCAAAATTTCCCCTATTGTGCTGATTAACAGATATTTTTAATCTGTTTCTATTCATACATTTTAGCATACCAAACTCCATTACATTAATTGCCAATTAAATAAGATGAATATCTACCAGTATGAAGCTAGCCAGATATTTTCCTGAGGAGCTGGTGGAGAACAAAGCAGAGCAAAAAGAAAAGTGAATACTGGACTAAACCAATATGCTAACATGTTCGTTGTGGCAATTTTAGAAGGTGATAATGTGTCAGTGTTCTGTTTACAGCTTGCTGCGCTGCCCCCAAGTGTTTTAGAAAACACAGGAACTTTCTGAGGTTATTTCTGAAAAAGAAGATCCAAGTACTCAATCCTAAAAATAATTTAGCATCCTTCTGCTTAGTTGTTTCAGAACCTCAACATCTCTAAAGAACGTTTTTAAAAATTCCACACAATAAAATTACAGCACACAGGGAAGTACCAATTACATCTTCCTCCTCCTTTAGGATCCATAAATGTTTGTCAATATCGAGACTTCAAATCAGGTAGCCCCTAGAGGCATTGATGCTCCTCACCCAACTGGACCAAAGTGATACTACTACAGTGTCACAGAGCTAAAAAACCTAACAAAACTAAAGGCAATCAATAGTTTTGCACGAACAGCTTGATATAAATATGAATAATGATTGATTTTATTGTTTTAAAATAAAAGTGATCAATTAAAATGTAACAGTTGCTAAATATCGCAGCTGCCAATAAAAGATATTGGTGCATATATCACTGTCACGGATCAATTCCCCAATCAATAGTAAAGGCAACCCACACAATTGGCAGTGTGGCTCTTCCTGAGAAAATATTAGGAGCAGCCATTTAAATTATAATACCAAGTTGGGAAGCCAATTCATTTTTCACAATTTCATGTAGGAGGCCCTAATTAATAAAAACCACACGTCTCGTCATTCAGAGAAGTGCAAACACTTTTTTTTTCTCCTGCAGCTTGACCATCTGGCAGGGATGTGTTGTATTTGTAGAGTAATAGTGTCCCCTATCTCTCCATAGCAACGAAGAATGTCAGTGATAGGAACCACAGCTGAGAGGGGAACAGAAGTGGGTCAGGGTTTCTTGGCACTGCAGGTTCGAGGAGTTGTGGCTTTACACCACCTAGGCTGCCCACTGGCTTTAGCAGACCTGACGTGCTCGACATGAACAAAGTGTAGCAGAATTACAGGGATGAGAGTAATAGTACTACTAGTAGTAGTAGCAGTACTTAATGTCAAATGTCTTGGGACATAAAGTAAATTTCTAGCAGTTGCATAATCTTTTGCAGGAGTGAACAAGAGAGAAAGTAATTCATCCTTAAAGCCTGGAGGTGTTAAATTATCATCTCAAATAGCTGAATAAATAAACTGTTATGCTTTTAATGGTGTCTGTGCAAGAGTTGGGTCTATTCCTGCTAATATTTCACGACACTCTGGAATTTACAATTTTTACACTCACAGATCTGAGCCACACCCACCGCCAACAGCGCTTTCTCACCTCATGCAGAAATACAAAAAGGGGCATTGTAACGAATAGTAAAGACTTGAAACAACTGAGGCACACCATAGTTAGAGATGCTGGGCATTTTGTTGTTCACATATAAGTTCTATATGTATTTAAAATGTAAAAGAAAGTACCGCAAAAAAAGTATTTATTCTATAATAATTTGTAATTAATTATTAGTGCAGTTTAGACTCTATGTCTTGTACAGCTGTGTACATCAAAATAATAATGCTGCGTGCATTATAAGCTATGAAAAACCCTCAACAGCAACGAATAAAGTAGCTGGAATAAACAAACCAGTTCTGATTAAACCTTTTGAAGGGCTTTGAATCACACAAGCAGACTGAACACAATCTGTCCCCTAATCTACTTAATCTCTATGGTATCACAGCTCCGAAATGGCATCATTATGATTTCCATCAATGTATTTCAATATCCAGCCACTACCATGAGGTGGAGCTCTTTCTCTGCCTCTGAAAGGGCACCAGCAAAAACTGGTGTTTTGCTCTTCATACTGCACAATAAATCACATACCCCCCCGAGACGGACGGAAATGACGTCAAGCCTCCCTTATTCATAGTCTCTGTATATTCATTCATTGTATATATCAAGTTTTTCCATTGTTTCTATGGAGCAGACTCCATGTTGGAGTCAAGTCTTGCCGCACGACAACCTGTGCAGATAGGTGTAATTTGATCAAAACTGAGGAGCAAAAGTCCCACTCTAACAAATCAAACCTTGGGTTGAGGATTCCTCAGAGTCCTCCAGTTATTTTGAATATAATAGAGAACCTGCATGTTGTGTTTGAGCTGTTTTCTCCCCTCCAAAATGGGCATCCAATGGTGCAATGCAACCAGCGGTAGCATTCTCAAAAGAAAATTTTAACTTTCTGCATTGGAAAAAAAAGTTAAGCAGTTTAAGAGTGTGATATTTCTCATAAAGTCATCACTTGATTGAGTGTTCATTGGTCATACAAAAACACACTGTAGTCATAATTTTATGGTGTCTTCCAGCATAAAATCAGAATGTCAATGCAAACCTAAATAACTGACTCTGACTTAGTACCTTTGCTTGTGCATATGTTATAACAGAGTGCAGTAGGATTTAGAGTTTATCATTGAAGCTGTAGAGCAAGATAACAATCACTGATGTTGCAGCATTGCCCTCTGGTGGCATACTAAAACACATAACTGTACTGTACTTCTTAGATTTACCAAGAAGTTTTTCCATTCAGAAAAACGTGTACAATATTTACCTGAGAGTGGGGGCTTCTGAGAGTGAAGAGCTGATGGGATGCTGACAATCAAACGCTGGTCCTCCACAGGAACCTCTGACGTCTCTGAAGAGCTGAAAGTGGTTAAGACAAGTCTGAATATAAATATAATTTGGATACATTCAATTTAAGGGTTACAGCAAAAAAATAATGAAAATTGACACAAACAGGAGTCACCTTGAGGAGTTATTTACAGAGGAACGATATCGGCCCAGCACCAACACTTCATATGGCTTCTTATGACGTGAATCCAGAGGAAACACAAACTGCCCAGATGTGGTGACCTGGTGGAAAAGAGCAAGCCCTTAAAACATCTGTAGTCACACCAATGGGTCAGATTCCCATGATTGAGAGCTGAATCTATTCAAGATGTCTGTACCTTGACCCAGAACCATTCAGCAACAACTTCTACTCCCCAGTGTGGATACAGCTCATCACGCACAAAACGCAGGTGGCTAGGTCGGTTTGTGACCCAGGTGACCACTAAACAGTTCGGAGACGCCAGTAGGGGTATAGGGAGCCGTTTCAGCTGGGTTGAAGGCAAAGAACTGTATCTTCATTGAGAAAATAGATTTAAAAAGTTATTATGTGCAAATGCAATCATACCATTACCAAAAGAGATACCATTCTCTTTTTTAGTATGATTCATAAAAGAACTTATATAAGTACCAGTAAGTGCATTATTGAACTACTACTACTAATGTTTTTTGCATGTGTATATTTGCACACATTTACTTATCTTGGATATATTTCAATGGTTCCCAACCCGGGGGTCAGGGCCGCCCAGTGCCTTCAACTAAAAGCACTATATGAACTTTTTTCACGTAGCACCATCATCAGGTCAAAATTTAATTTGCCCAACACTTGGGTTTCTGATACTTACTTACAAGACTAATGATGCCCCCATCAACCTCAGCTGTATTTCATGTATAGTGCTAATTAGCTCATTTTAGCATGCTAATATGGTTGCCATTATACCTGCTTAAAGGCTCAGTGTGTAAGTTTAATGGCATCTAGTGGTGAGGGCTGCAAATTGCAACCTGATTGCAACCAAAGGTTCAGTCAATGTTCAACCCTGCCTTTCCAAGCACGCAGGAGATCCTACATAAGCATGTTAGCATGTTGATATTAGCATTTAGCTCACTGCACAACTGTGCTGAAGGAAAGTCTCACGGAGCCGCTAACATAGCCTTAGACTGTTTGTCTTTTTTTTCCTCTTGTAAAACACTGGATACTTTGAACTCTTCAGGCCTCAAAATCTTTCTAATAAGACAAGCTGAGATGGAAAAATCACTCTCTAGGTTCATGACCTATAAATATATCTCAAGTAGACATTGCTTCATTTGAAGGGGTAATGAGACAAAAGGGTTGGGAGTAACTAGTGTAAGGCATTATAATAATTTATGTAGCTTTTGAATTTCTTATCTTATTTTCATTAGTTCCTTTATCTGTTTTCTCCTCCTAAAATCTAATCTTATCTGATCTTATTTTCTGGTTACACCTTCGAAAATGCTTGAATGCCAAATTACCTGCGACTCCTTTTCACAGACTTGTTTTCCCACGGTGGATCCATAACTATTAAGTCAAACCTCCTTCCATCTGTGTGAGAAACAAGCAGCTTTAGCAAACAATGTCAGGCTGGAAATCAACTACTATACACAGTCATACGGGAATTATTTACAGTGATTAATTCAGGGAAGGTGGTCATATTTATGACATAATGACCATTTTATTCTAAAGAATTTTCAGCTTTTATCTTTTATGCAAAAGAAGTAACCACAATCATGCAGTGACTACAGTTGTAAGGCATCATCATATATTCCAGATGGCCTGAAAACACCTTTTTCAGTTCCCAGCATTGTACTTACAGTGGACAAGGGGCTGTATTCTTGTGAAATCAGAAAGCAGAAAAGCTGTGTGTGGTGGTATTACATATTCCTCTCCCATCAGTGTAACCACTGTAGCCCAGTCCGCCCTGTTCTCTGTTACCCGGGAGAACAAGTCGACATGTGATGTACAGCCATCTTCAGCAACAAGTAACTGGACACACTTGTCCTGTTCCTCATCATCCACTAGAGGAAGCTCTTTAGCCATTTCACAAAGAGCGACGAGGCTGCACTCCTGAGAGGGAAGAGGCTCCTTCACTGTGTCTGTCACTCCGTTTAGATATCCGAGGGATCTGACAGAATCCACCAGGGATTTGGCTCCCTCCAGGATGACAGATCTGATCTGCATCAGCACACATTGTAGAGATGATTTAGTCTGGATGGTATGCTAAATTGAAAATATATAATGGCTTGAGATTTGTGCTGGCAGAGACTGTTTTTGAAATGCATGAAATAAAACGGATGCTCATCAGTGGCGGAAAGTAGCAGAATACTACTCTGCTACTATGATGCTACTTTAAACTTCTACAGACATATATTGTATTTATTTGACAGCTATAGTTACGAATTGTAAATTCAGATTATTAAAACTAAATATAACTAACAAATTATGATGCATTGTTATGGATAAGCTACCCAGCAGTATATAAAAGTAGTTAACATTAGTCCCACCTTTCCCAGCTGCAATGCACATGGATGCATCAATAATTATAATCAAATAATATATTATTCTGATATAGGTCAATCTGCACAATGACTACTTTTCCCTTTGGTACTTATTATGATGCTACTACTAATCAAATTTATTGCCAAGTGGGTTTTCACATACATACACAGAGATTGGCTTTGGTATTTTGGTACAACAATTAACATAGTAAGAAAATTAAAAAAAGATTAACAAATTACTACAAAGATCAGAAATTATAAATAGTTTGTGCAGGAATGTGAAAAAATCTTAGTATTAGTATGATGAGGCCAGATTTAGATGGAAAGAAACTGTTTGTGTAGCGTGAAGCTGGAGGTTTGTGTCCAGGATGGAAGGGGTCAGCTATAATCTTTCCTGCTCAACTCGAGTCCTGGAGGCGTACAGGTCCTGGAGGGATGAGAGACTGCAGCCAATCACCTTCTTTTGTGGAGCGGATGAAACGTCCCAGCCTGTCCTTGTCCTTGACAGTGACAGTAGCGTACCAGATGGTGATGGAGGAGGTGAGGATGGACTCAATGATGGCAGTGTAGAAGTGCACCATCATTGTCTTTGGCAGGCTGAACTTCTTCAGCTGCCGCAGGAAGTACATCCTCTGCTGGGCCTTTTTGGTGATGGAGGTGATGTTCAGCTCCCGCTTGAGGTCCTGTAAGATGATGGTGCCCAGGACGCGGAAGGAATCCGCAGTGGCGACTAATGAGTCACACAGGATGATGGGGAGGGTGGGGCTGGGCTCTTTCTGAAGTCCACGACCATCTCCACTGTCTTCAGAGCATTGAGCTCCAGACTGTTTTGGCTGCAACAGGTCACCAGATGGTCAATCTCCCACCTGTAGGCGGACACGGAGAAAAGAAGAGGGGAAAGAACGCAGCCTTGAGGGGAACCGGTGCTGATGGTTTGGGATCAGAGACATGTTTTCCCGTCTTCACGTGCTTCTTCCTGTCCATCAGGAAGTCTGTGATCCACCTGCAGGTGGAGTCAGGCACGTTCAGCTGGGAGAGCTTGTCTTGCAGCAGGGCCGGGATGATGGTGTTGAAAGCAGAGCTGAAATCCACAAACAGGATCCTGGCATAGGTTCCTGGGGAGTCCAGGTGCTGGAGGATGTAGTGAAGGGCCATGTTTACTGCATCATCTACAGACCAGTTGGCTCTGTAGGCGATCTGCCGGGGGTCCAGAAGTGGGTCTGTGATGGATTTAAGGTGGGTCAACATTACCACAGAGGTCAGGGCGACGGGTCTGTAGTCGTTAAGTCCAGGAATGATGTTGGAGGCTGATCAGCACAGTGCTTCAGGGTGGATGGCTCAGCTGCTTTGTGGGGTTTCTGCGTCAGTGAGCAGTGACTGAACCTTTGGTTGCTATCAGGTTGCAATTGTCAGGTATAACGGCGACCATATTAGCATGCTAAAATTAGCTAATTAGCACAATACATGAAATACAGCTGAGATTGATGGGGGCGAGGGGGTGGAGCTGGCCAACTCTGAGTAGGGGGTGGGGGGTGGACTGGGGCTGAAGCTGTGGAGGAGTCACAGGGGACGGTGTCTGATTGACTGTCAAAATGCAGTAGAACTGGTTCAGCTCATTTGCCATGCTAAAGTCATTGATGGAGTGGGGGGCCTCCAAACAGATGTGCCATTGTTTGCAGAGAACTGGTCCAAGCCTTTCTGAGTACAGTTGATAAGCTTCTCGCACCTCCTTGCTAAACCTGTACTTTAACGCCCTGCACCCATCCCTGTCGCCACTCCTATATGTCTCCTCCTTTTCCATCCTAAGCTGTAACTGAGGTAGGCGTCACAGCATCAGTAAACTCATCCAGACTATTCGTAGCAGTCCTGAAAACATCCCAGTCAGTGCAGTTCAGAGTGGATTGAGAGACCGAGTCTGTTTTCGGCTGCTTTGTGGGGGTTCATCCTGTTGACCGCTCAGAACAGAGAGTGTCATTGTTGTGGTAGGGGAGAAGGTGGCCTCTAAAATGAGTTGTGGAGAGGCCTAGGTCCCTGCTGAAGTGGGGGAGGAAAAGCTGGTGGGCTGTAGCTGATGAATGGAGTCATGGGGGATGGTGTCAGGACTGTCCCATATCATAGACCGTAGAACTCAATAATGGGCTTCAGCCAGAATGAAAGAAACTCCTCATGCTTAAAAGATTACAAGATAAATTAAGCATTGCATTACTATAATACAGACTGCCAGATGGTATCAGCACCAGAGTCTAACAGGACAATGTAGACCAGCTATACAGGATTCTACACCACCTCTTCAATCTTAACCTAAGCCTAGAGAAAGTTCCAGTGGTGTGGAAGACAGCCTGCCTTGTTATGGTACCAAAGAAGTCATCTTCATCTGCCCCTTAAAGATTATACACCGGTGGCATTAACATCCCACATAATGAAAGTCCTCGAGAGTCTGGTCTTGGCTCATTTCAGACCTCAGGTGACCACCTCCCTAGACCCTGTGCAGATTGCCTACCGCCCTGAGGTGGGTGTAGAGGATGCCATCATCTACCTGAATGTAGCATTTGTGTGTTCACCTTAACAATGGACTGGATTGGAAGGGAAAGAGCAGATGCTACTTCTTGAGGAAGCTTAGGTACTTTATTTAAATAGCATGTTTAAAAGCAGAGTTTACAAAGTGCTATGACATACAAAATAAAGTAAAAGCCTTGACAGTTAAGAGAAAGGGATAGAAACTGATGCAGAGAAATCAGAAGAATCGTCTTTCTTATTCCACACATTCTTCCTATGTCAAATCCTGACACCTACATTACCCACAATGCAACTCAACCTCTGACAATTAGGAGATTTGGGTGCATGCAGCAGCCAATGTAGTCTTGAGCCACTAGCTGCAAGCATATATGAGGAACAGGCTACAGAGGTCTGATAACCTCACTTTTTTCTAACTCCACAGCAGGGGTTGACTGATATGGGTTTTTTATTGGGTGATACTGATATTTAGAGAGCAGGATGGCTGATGGCCAATATACAGTATAAATCTAATATCAAAACAAGAAAAGTCATGAATGTTTCTGTTATCCAATGCAGAGTACAATCAAATATAAATGTTATCTAAGCCAGTAACATGTTGTTTTAGATTGACTTTTTTTATTAATGAAAGGAATAGAAATATAAATTGGGTTATGCTATAGATTTCAGAACATGACTGCTGTTTAAGGGAGAGTGGGTTATAGTTTAACTGCATTATTCTCTACAGTATAACAATATATACCGTATTTAACATTAGCCAGTAATGGTTTTAGATTATAGTTGATGTCATTCAGTAAAGACGACGGTAACTGAGGACATTTAGGGCTTGAAACTAATTATAGGTACTAATTTTACATAATTCTTATTGTATTTGATTGTATATAGTGTTTATATATTTATACATCTACGTAGAATGTTACCTGATTTTACTTTTACTGTATTTCTTTCTTCTTTTTACATTCCTCTGTGCTGCTCTGCTAACTTCACTTTCCCCTACGGGAGATTAATAAACATCTTATCTTAACCTTTTTACCACCTTCCCAAAACTCAGGGGAAGGGGGAGCGCTAACCTTGTTCCACAGCAGCCACACTAACGAGGTTTCCTAATCGGCCGACCGCCCTGGATTTTTTTCATTTTCTGACTTGTAGTCTTCAGCCCCAACCAGCGCCAACTCAAGACACATCAAATGAGGCAATTTATCAAACTTCACACAGCTCTCTCTGGAGCCACAAAAGGCTTTTTCATACACGCAGTAGAAGGCTACTCCCCAAGACCTGTTAACAGTAAAATCGGTGGAGCCCCCCTTTAAATAAAACTTTGAATGCAGGACTTTCACTTGAAACAGATTATTTCTACAAAAGGTATTTCTACTTTTACTTAAGCTAAAAAACTGAGCAGTTCTTCCACCACTGATGCAAGCTGACTGCATGCCTTTGTTTATGGATCTGGATTTAAATGAATATGAAATGGAACTGGTAATTCAGGAATCAGGACATTTAACTGCAACTTAAAGTTTGATATTCCTAAATCAAGTTGTTCCCTCTGTGACACATTACATTTTTAGTTGTTTAATACAATCTTTGCCAGGACAAATCTCTTTCCATACATGATATATGCAGCTAAAACGTCCAGAATGAGATTCAACCTACCTTCTCATGGAAGGCCTGTGAATCTACTTCTCCCTGGTTGAGTTCACTGTGTTTTCGTTTCCTTTTCTGAAAGTCAAATTGATATTGAACGATGAATGGTAAGCAAGAACAAAAATTCAGGTACCACATGCTAACTTCATAGCTTTATGCTTTAATTTACTGGAAAATAAAAATCTTGGAATGACAATACTGCAATATTAAAATTAGCACTATTTTAACCAGAAAAGACAAGATGTTACAAGATATTCACAGTCAGAAAAGAAGCACATTGGGTATGTATTAAGGAAGGATTTCAGGTTTATGTTCCACTGATTTGAGTTTGGTGAGCCAGCTGCACTAACTAATGTTAATGTATTCATATGGCATTAAGCTGAGCCGTTTAAATTGAGGCTGAAGTTTTGCCTTATAAATAAATCAATATAAACTAGGACTTGGTTTAATCTCTACATGTCTGTCAAGTAACCTTTGTAATTTGCATTTTAAGATCGGTTATATTTTGAAAGAAATTAAATGTATCCTGTTCATGTGAGAGTTCTATAATAGGCCATTTCACTGAAGATATTTTGACATGTCACCTTGGTAAAGCACAGATATAAATAATAACATAATAATAATGATAATAATGGCTAAATTCCATTTAGCTGCTTTAGTTTCAGGGTCCTGGAAAATGTCTTCCACCACAGGGTTACGCTTGCAATCTCTTACTAAATCAGAACTTTCATAGTCCTCCCCAATCTGCCAAGTAGTTTCTGACAATTGCAGCCCTTGTTGCAGGTTCAGCCAGTCCCTCATTCTCAGATCTGCCTCCTAAAAGCTAAAAACTGGTTTCTTTCCAAATGAAAAGGAACTACTGGACATTTAGCCTTTTTATGATTCACAACACATGCTCAAAATATTCACAGTGTATTTGAGAATAATGTATATTTTGTTTGTTTTTGAAATTGAAAAAGGAAAGTGTTTGTGTTGTATCTGTGTCTTCAAATAAAAGTGACAACTGGGCCCAGGTGACCATCTCCCTAGACCCACTGCAGTCGTGAATGAAAGTTTTTGCTTAGAGGATCAAATTCTGGGTACAGCTGAATACAGCCATAGTACCAGCAGTTGCTGCTGTAAAGAGCCCCTGGCAGCAGCAGCCTTTGGTTTTACCTTTGATGGTTTGTCGGGTTTCTGCACCATATCCGTGTTTGCTCCATCCACAGCTGCACTGGCACTCACACTATAATGGCTCTGTAAAATCTGAAAACACTGCCGCTTAAAACGACACGTGACAAGTGATTTTTGATTATCCTTAAGTCGGATGCAACGCGAATAGCTTTGATCAGTGAGTGAGCATGCATCCAAAACCCAGCCCTGGGTGTTCTGCCCCACCACGGACATCGTGAAACGTGGTTTGTTTAGCAGACGTTAAAGCGATCACATGTTCAGTCTAGCTCGGTACAGATCCAGAGTAGCAGGCCATACCACACCCAACAGCGTCCATATGTTCAAAAAATTGCATTTCCCTGAAAACGATACAGGAAAATTCGACCACCACTCGGGTACAACAAACAATTATCATGTCAAGATGGCGTATGACGTCCCTAACCTTGACCAACCGAACCAACGGAGGCGACGAGTGTTAGCCAATCAGAGGCAGTGTTGTCGAAAATGTTGGTGGGATAAAAAACAACACCGCCCCCAAAGAGCTTCCGTGAAAACACAGCTACGCGAACGTATTCTGTTAGAAATTAGAGACGGAAACAAGTACCTACAGATTTCAAGCAGACCCGACGAGGAGGACGCGAGTAATGTAAAGGCTGAGACTGGGAGACGACACAGAAGTCTGTCAACGTCCGGACATGTGACACGTCAACGTTGCGTAGGGACGAACTTGAATGTAGGCTGCATGTAGTTTAGCTAGCAAGCTAAGTACTGTTAGCTGTTGTTGAGAAGATGTCTAAGCAGCATCGCTCCGCATCCTCCACTGAGGAGGGAAGAGTCCGCAGGAGGATCTGTGTTTTCGACCGCCGCTGCGATAATAAGGAGACTACTGGAAAATGGCTGGAAACAAGTGGTCTGGACTTCAACGACTTTCTTCATGTTCTGCAACAGGCAATGTTAGCTTACTTTACTTTGGTTTGAGGCAAAAGGTCGTCAACGAGGGCGGTAAAGACGCTTCAGCATATTATCTTTTCCATGCCGGACTGCAACGTTATGTACTCTTGCACCTTCTTCCACTCCCTCTGCACTCAGTTGTAACGTTACTCTCAAAACTAAATCGGAATCAGAAATATCTTAGCTTTATTTTAAGTAGTTCGCAGGAATTTGCACTACGGTGATTTGGTGCCAGACAGACATACGGTTGACATGAATAAATGTAAAAATATGTAATAAACAGATGTGCAAGTCATAATAGAATAATTTAAAGAAAAGAGTGTTAAAGAAAAGACAATGTGACTGTTATTCAACTTGCATGACTCCAGATTTGTGTTCTGCAAACATATTGCAGGGGGAGATGATTTGTCGTTCTATACATATAAAATTGACACAATAAACAAAATACAAAAGAATAATGAAGACTATGCAATATGGCTATATGTGCAGTGATATGCAAGATATTGATTTACCTCAGATTAATATAAAGCAGTCTAATGCAGCAGACCTGCAGTAAATCCTGCCTCCAAAAGTTTTTATACTTAGACTGTAAATGTTTAAAATCTAATATAAAGAAACTGAAGTACAAATAAGACTGAATTTTGGTTGACAGGTGTAATGATCAAAAGGGGTGAGATTTTTCTTATTTGGTGGCCACAGAAGTACCAACCTAAGGCCTGACATACTGTACCCATACATATTTGTTCTAGTACTCTCAGCATCTTATACCTTGGGTGACATTAAAAATTGTTAGAAATACAATGGTGTGGAGGTGATTATGCAATTAGAACAAAAAACCCTGTAATGCCTTATTCTGATACTAATTTGACATTCGTTTTATGTTCCATTCTCCTAGAAAGAACAGAGCACATGAATTTGCATGCTACTGTAGGTGTATTAATACAGATACAGATTTTTAAAGGCTGTACTCACAGGTATAGTCATACCTTCATTCAATCTGTAATTATGCGTCCTTTTGCATGCCACTCCCTATCCTACAGAGACAGCATATGAGGACATTTGTAATTAAATCCCTAGGATGACCGTCGTAGTAACAGGAAAATTGTGCTGTTGAGAGCCAGTTAGATTTTCAGTCCTGTTGTATAGTGATTGTATGGTGTCATGGTAAAAAGCCTACCATTGTCTTTTGATATGTAGCCTTATGACATGACACCCTTTCATGACATGGTTGAGTTAGATTTGAGTAAAGCTGTCTTTAATTTAATTTCTTAAATTAATTTCTTAAAGGGACATTGGGGGGCAGGCATCTGACTCTAAACCCTGGGACAAGCTCACTCCTTTTTCTTCCCTGATAAATTCCCTGTTACCGCCCCCATCATTTGCCTGTTTCTTTCTCTTCGAGCTCTGACTGTGTGGAACATTTTATTTGCTAAACATTTCCCTGTTTCTTTCTCTTCCTGCTCTTACAGACTGTCGACCATTTTATTTTATTTAAGAGTCAGCTAACACCGCTGGAGTGACCAAAAGCATGCTCTCTGTATATGTTAACCATTAATGATATTGTTTGGGCAAACATAATACAGAACAACATATGAATAAGACATAATGAACAACATATTCAGGTTTCGCTAAAGAGACAGATTAAATGGTTAAACTAACGAACAGGAAACATCTGGTTTGAGAGGAAATTAGAAAGATGCTGAAACTTAATGCATAAGCGAGCGTGTGTGTGACTGGATCCTCCCAGACTTTTTACGAAGGACGAATGTGAAAATAAGTCGGTTAATAACTGACACTAGATGCAAAATGCAGGAAGTAATGAGTTTTTAAAGTAGTGGCGCACAAACATCAGGAAACGCTAAGAAATGACAGAAGTTATGATAGTTAGTAAGGGGCAGAGAACAGAGACACACAAAGGGAGGAACAAAAACCTTTCATGAATTATGATTCATTCTTTAATCGTGTCTCGGCTTGGCTTATTGTGTACTCTCATAAATCTGGCTGACTTCTTTGTGTTTCCTGTGACTGAAATGTATTGAGTTTGCTGACTGAGAAAACCTTCCTGCTCACCACCGCTTCCTCTTTGCGGCAGCAGTAAGTTGTTGGGGGAAAAAAAGCAGCCCTGGTGGTCTCTGTGGTTTAAGCGGACCATCATTTTCTCAATTATTATAAAATCTAATAAACGTCACTGACGCTGAAAAATTATCAGAGCATCCTAAAACTTAAGGTGACGGCGTTGTCCCACCCAACATTCCAAAGCCCAAAGAAGTTCAATAAATATTATTAACCCCCCCACATTGGAGAAGCAGAGAATGGTTGGCATTTTTTCTTGACAAATAACTGAAACAATTAGTTGCCAGTTACTTTTTTGTTGATTGACTAATCAATTAATGATTGACTGTTTAATCTTAAAAGAAAAACTGACACAAAAGTCACAACTGATGCTCACTTTTGACATTTTGGTTTTACAGAAATTTGCAATGCGTTCACGTGAAAGGTTTGTGTTGGCCACGACAGACAGGACGGTCCTGGATTTTGACAAATTTGGTGAGTAAATCAGTCCTTATTTGGTGCAAAAGTAAACAATATGCTGCCATGAATTATCAATGAATAAAGATTCTTGACGGTCAGATTATGTTATATGTCGGTATTTATCATTATTTACACAAGACTGATAGTTAAAATAGTTGTTCTCCTTTTTTGTCAATATAGGGGAGCTTCAGGATGGCAGCACCGTGGTCTTGCTGCAACGCGAGGACCAAGCCCTGTCAGTGGCGACGACGGAGAACATCAACTTTGTGCCTCATTATGATACGTTGATCCAGGGTGGCATGTATGAGTATTACGCTAGTGAGGGCCGGAACTCGTTGCGTAAGTGCTTACATGATTAAAGTGGTATACTTGAGATGGACAGAGACATTAAGTTGCATATCTTCACTCATAACTTGCTACATTTAGCTTTTTATTATTTTATTTTTCAGCATACGCACTTGCTGAGCTGATCGACAACTCTCTATCGGCCACAGCTAAAAACACAGGAATGAGGACAATAGAGATACGATTGGTTGGTTCTGCAGTCTTTTCCTTTTGCATTGGCCTTAATGTCATGTCCACAGAGAGTTCAAATAGACTTTGTTTGTCTGAATCTGTAAAATTGTGACATCTCTCTCCATTTGCCAGCTGTTTGATGAAACCCTCGGGAAGCCTGCAGTGATTGTTTTAGATAATGGGTGCGGGATGACCCCTAAGCAGCTGAAAAACTGGGCAGTGTACAGACTCTCTAAATTTTCCAGGAAAGGAAGGTTTGTTTTGTTTACGATCTTTATTTTCTATTTTCAGATTAGCTGTGATTGTCCAAGTTATGCTTCCAATATTGTATCTTTTACTTACTTATTAAAGCACAACTTAATGTTTGTTTGTTTTTTTGGGTTATTTTTTTCTTCACTGCAGTGAGCAAGAGGAATACATTCGGCCTGAGCCTGTGCCTCGTAGTCTCAACAGTGACATATCCTACTTTGGTGTTGGAGGAAAACAGGCTGTTTTCTACATAGGAGACTCAACCAGGGTAAATAGATAAAGTAACAGAGATTACCGTGAACAGGAATACTGATCTTCTTTTCTCTGTATTCTTTTGGTTTTTAGAAGACTTTAACAAGTTATAGTGACGTGACTTTGATCTTTAGTTGTGAGAATAGTGACGTAAACAGTGTTCAGGTTACAGAGTAATATACCCGCAATGTCCGCTGGCATGTATTTGATATGCCAGTGCAATACCTTGCTGGATCATGTCAGATTGTGTTGATCCATGCGTTTAGTTATTTTGTTGTTTATTTTTTTACCAGAACCCTTTGCACCGGCACTGCTACGTTGCTGGACTGGCCTCATTAAAAAAAATGAGCAAAATATAACTAGAGATTGGTTTATTTTTGTTTATTAGATGATCAGTAAATCAGTTGGCACCCCAGATGTCCACGAGCTGGTTCTGTCAAAAGAGGACTTTGTGAGAAAAGAGCAGAACAAAGAGGATGTTTTCACCGGGACAATCAGAAACAGGAAGGTAAGTGATCTCTTTTAAAAGCCTCTGTAAGTAGATTCACACAGGGGATCAGGATTTGTCTGATTTGTATGGAGCTGTCTGTATTAACATCTCTGCTGTCTGTCCTCTGTGTGGTATTTCATCTTTGTCCTGCAGCCCGGTGACTCTTCACATGTGAATAAAGATGATGAGCGCTTCCTCCATGCCGTCATCGCTGAGGAGTCTGGGAAGGAAAGCTTCACAGCTGTGGTCATCACGGGAGTCCTGCAGGAGCATATCACCTTTCTCAAACAGGATTTCGAAGAGTGGACCAGACAGCTAGCGTGAGTTCAATCACCCGCACCATCCGATACGTACTCCAAAGCCTGACCAGGTCCCATGCTGTCTGTTTTGGTTTATGTAAAAAATTTGTTTTGTCCATATTTCAGTCAAATATATCACTATTACATTCATGGAGCCAATGGAAATGATATAAACTGCAGCTCAACAAACTCCCACCATCTCCCTAAAATTGACATTCAGGTGAGGCTGCTGGTCTTAAAAGGGTCATTTGTTGTTGAAAGCGACTCTTCTGTTTTATTGTGAGCTAATATTGTGATATGACTCTTTTGATCAGATCACCTTGCGGGAAAAGCCTCCGAGATGTCCCCGTGCTATGAATCTTAGGGAGGTTGAGGACGACATGCAGACTCTGTATATAAGTAATGCTGCAGACACGTTTGAGTTTAACGCCGAGCAAGACGGCGGCACAGTGGAGGGAGTCATTCGGTATCATCCCTTTCTCTATGACAAGGAGACCTACCCTAAAGACCCCTCTGCTATGCAAGGTATTCAAACTCTAAAATATCTATATGCTTTACGATATTTGACAGTTTGGGTTACTATATGGATCTTATGTTGGTCCTTTGTTTACCAGCCTCCCATGATGATGATGACGATGATGATTGCGAAATCAGCGGTGAGGCAAGAGGGAAAAGGTCGATATTTGACTGTTTCTGGAATGGACGGCTCATACCCTACACCACAGTGTCTGAGTAAATACTTTACACTATTTTTGTCATGGTTTAAAAAGTTTAAACATTTTGTTCGCTCTTTCTAAAGAAACAGTTTGCTTTTTGCTGAGAGTTAGATGAGGAGAAATTTTAAACCACTCTCATGTCTGTATGCTAAATATGACTTACTGACTGTGCCAAGGAATAGGTACAGCACGCAACTCCTTGTAAAACTACAAATTGTTGTTTTTACATTTACTTAAACAAAAGAGATATAATGTTTAATTAATGACACTCCTGGCTCCAGTTTCATATTTAGATTAAATCTAACAAGTGACATCAATCTTCTCATCTAACTCTCGGCAAGAAAGCAACTTTAACTTGATTTTGTAAAGACACTATGTTGGTCTTCTTACATTATGCTGTCTGTTTCTTACAGGTTTGACTGGTGTGCCCGGCCCAGTAGAGATGCAGTGGTGCCTGCAGAGTGTTACAGTCGGTTTTCCGGGGTTCTTTTCACTGACGACAGATTCAAGGTCAGCACGAACAAGCTCACTTTCATGGACCTGGAGCTGAAACTGAAGAACAAGGACACTATCTTCACGCGCATTGCCAATGGACAGGTGGTCAAATACAAATGCAATTTTTTGATGAGTACAACAAATTGCAGCCTCACATCGAAGAGTTTTTCTTTGCAGCACTCATTTCAGATGTGGACATATATATTTTTAAGATAGACCGTACATAAAGCAGTGCGTGCTGATTATTTTTATTGCTGTGGATGGATGATGATATTTTATTTTTGGAAGTGTCCACAGGAAAAGAACAGTTCTGAAGTTACCTCCCTGCCTGATCAAGGTGCATAAGTATAGCAAAAACAGAAGACAAGAAATATTCAGTAACTTTTTGTGGTACACTGTAGAGCCCATAAGTAAGCCTATCAGTGATGTTCTTTGTATGTTGAATTTCCCTAGTGAGCAAGTCTGTAACAGGGAGCAAAGGTCAGGCAAAGAGTACAAGTCTACAGCTACATCCTTCCCCAATCAAGGTGCTTAAACAAGTTTTGCAGGACGTGTTGGTAGACGCTGGATTGATTAATGCTGCATTAAGCAACAGCTTTGATATTTAGACTGATTCAAATTACATTGCACAATGTGAAAAAGGGTTATTCTGCAGCTTTATACAGCTTTCAGCTCCCTATTTTGGTTTTTCGATGCTCACATAGACCGTATCGTTGAGTCTTAAAGCTCTCAGCAGCCTCCCCATACATAACTGCTGACATTTAAGAGAAGCTCAGGCTGTTCTACCTGATGAAGGCCAAATCATAGCTAAAACATCCATGAATATTGGACTTGCTCTGGCCACGAAGCTATAAACATGTGTACCTGTGTGGTAGATATGTAATTAGGAATTAATTTGCTTCTTTGTTGTTTTGAAGTCTTTGAGTTTCCTAGTGATCAAAAGTCTTAATCTTAATGCAGCTTTAGTCAGTTTGGTTTAATTTAAGAACTAGAAAAACCACCAAGTGTTTCTGAACTTTTCATGTCCATGTCCACAGAAACAAAGAACGAACATTCAGAAGGAATTTACACAGTGGCTAAAAAACTGTCATGCGAAGTATGATAAGCAAGTTAAGTTCCTGGGTTACGAGGGGACCATAACACGAACAGATGTGCCAACTAAGAAGATGCAGGAGCCCTGGGCGACCTTCTCCTCCATCGAATGGGATGGGAAAATATACAGAAAGGGCCAACTTGTGAGCATCTGTTTGATGTTTTTTTTTATTTTTGCCTGCATATATGTATATGTGTATTATTATCATGTAATCTATAGCAATGCCTACATATTTCTTCATGCAGGTGAAGTCTCGGAAAACGCACCCCCTTCTGTATGGTAGCGTGGTTCGTTTTTTGCTGTATGGAGATTTTGACAGAGATGTTTTTGCCTCAGGAGGACAGGTTGAAGTGGCTCTGGTAAGGAAGGAACTGCGAAGTTTGTATTTTTTTGAAAAAGTGATCAAAGTATTACTGACTCTGGAGTTTCTTTTGCATGTCCGTCTTTTCTGTCTCTTTATCATGTCTCTGTGGTTTTAGTAAAGGGAATACTGGCAAATAATCATCTTTGCGGGAGGGGGGATTAAAAGTGAGGTACATTTTTGAGCGTATAAAGGCCTTATTATCCAGAAATCTTGTAATTCTGCATGGTATCAAGAAACTGCTAACTACACAGACCTAAATAAGGTTGTAATACATGTGTTAATGAAACCGAGTTCAATGTGACGAGTTTGTTTGTGCTGAACTCTGATTGAATATCAATACACAGATCCACTCAACAACTCCAAAATATATAAAACGAGCTCCACATTGTGGCATATAGACCAAGAGGTCGAGTTACCAATGATGCAAGCTGTTTAACATGCGTGTACTATTGCACCATTACTGAGGAAAAAACCCTCACCCATTGATGAGCTCCACAAAACTGCAAGAACAGTTGGCTTGGCGGTGTTGGAGTGGATCTGTAGGGAAGAACTGGAGGGGGAAAAAAGGCTCATGTCTAGATGTAAAAAATTTCAAGAGTCATATTAATGAAGACTGGAAGTTGTAGTCACTTCTCATATTGTGTCTACAAATTATTTGTGTACTGGTACTCATGTATGTGTTTTAATACAACAAAATCTGTTTTCATAGAAATGACACATTCACAAATTTGAACTAAAACCTTGTCAGAGCACCTTTTTTAAAATTTTTTATTTTATTTTACTTTTGTTTAGCCTGAATTGATAAACAAATCTGTTTCCTAGGAACCCAGAGCACTTCACGACAAGACCAAGACCATAGCCATTTCCAAGATAGACAAGACTGCCACTGATGAAGCCATCAAGAAATACATCGACAATGAATCCCTCAAGTGAGTGAGCAGTAAGGGGAACTGCTATCATGCTGCTAGCGTCTAATCTGGAGTGTACAATGCTTGGACTTCACAACACAAAACCACTACATATACCTTTACACAGCACAGTCATCTCCAATATCCCAGATTGTTAGACGTGATTCAGCGGTAATAAAAGTTTAATTTCCCTCCATCTTGTGCTTACTAGAGGTTGTTGTTTAAGCCTGATGAGACTTTAACATGTTAAGTAAATCGTATTTGTTTGTTTCAGGCTTCCGGAGAAACTGAAGGTGGACTGGCCAGAGGGTCACCCCTGGCCGCAGAATGCTGTTCGTCCAGCTGGGACTCCGTTAGGTAAGAAATCATATCATTTGCACGCCTCATCGATTCGCACACCAATCATCAGTGTGTATTTAACATAATAATAATGTTGAAAATGTTTTCATTGTTTATTTTAGGGCCAATCAAAGTCGAAATTGTGAACAAGAAAGGAGAGTCGTTATCAAGGATGCCATTAGGGGACCGGGGAACAGTGAAAAAACTGACTATTGTGCTCAAAGTCATCAAGCACGGTAAGAAGAAACACTTAATTGTAAAGCTCTGAAAAGTTATATAAGATAGTTTATTTGTAAAAGTGCAATGTTGTGATATTTTAAAGAGTTTGAAAAGTTACGAGCAGTAATAAGCAAACTAATTAGCAGAGGAAAAATACCCATCTTTACCACCCAACACAAAATATTCAGACAACAAAATAGCAGAAAGTTACACACCAAATTTCTTTTGACATACTTATTTTTTATTCTTTAATAGGGTTTTGTTCCCCTGTTTTTGCCTTTAATATGTAGGTCCTGAAGGAGATCAAGAGGTTGTCAATTTAACTGGCCAACATTCATCAAAGTGGGCTTTCTGGTTCAAAAAAATTGGTAGGTTTTGTTTATTTGTCAACTTTCATTATTGGTTACTTTTTGGGTGCCCTGTTTTTGTCAACTGAAAGGTTATGGATCAGTTATCATCTAACATCTTATCTTTTGTAGAGGTACTGACCCAACTGGGGAAGTTTACACTGTTTCTGAACACTGTGATACATGAAAGCGACGCGACTGTCTTTGGAGGCAAAAAGCTTCCAAGCTTTGAACTCATGTTCACCATCAAAGGTAAAGGAAACCACAAAAGTTGTACTGTCATAATTTTTACCCATTCTGAATGCCCTGATAATAAACTAATATAATTTGTTCGTAACCTTCTCAGAGGGTAGTGCTGAGAGTTTTCTTATCGGTGCAGTGAGCCCTACTCTTCATGTAGGAGTGCCGTTCAACATCCCTCTGTTGATAAAAGATGGTTATGATCACTCAGTGACCCCTCCTCCCAATCTCATGCCAGTACTGGAATGCAGGTGGGTCACTCCTCTTTATTTGTAAAATATCTTCTATTGTTTAAAAAGTGTTTACTCCAGTTTATTTTTTTATTTATATTTATTTCTTATGGCGTGAAATGCTATTTTGTGTTTTTTAGCTAACAGAAGCAAGTTTATGTAAGCTTAAGTGTACATGTATTTTTGGCAAGCAGCCATAAATCTTACCATGTCTTTAATGTGCCAGATACCGAAGTTGGCTCTGGCCCCATTGACATTATCATTATTATTTAGTGGCCTGGATCTGAGTTATGAGAAAGTGGACTGCAGTGGGACCATGTTCACCATCAGAAGTGTCAAAGCAAGAGGAAAAGTCCAGAATTACCAACAATCAAAGGTTAGAAAACATATGTTCTCTGATCAGAAGTCATTAGTTTGCTATTTATAAGAAAGAGTAATGGAAAAGTTATAATTATGAAATAATAGTGACAATACTGTGTATACAAGAACAATTTCTTCACAGCGCAGTATAGAAACGTTCAGAGGGGTAAAGTAACAAAATACAGTTACTTATGGTAATTCAGTAGTTCTTTTGTGTACTTTTTTTAAATCTGTAATTTTAGTTTTACTTAAGTATGTTTTGTTTAAAGTATTGTACTTTGCTACATTTTTAATCACATCTGTTACTGAGTAAAAAAAAAAAAAAAAGTGGAAGGAAAAACTTGGGACCACTTTGGCTTCAAGTGCAAGAGAACAATAGCTTTATCATGATGCGGTGTAAGCTGTGAAAAAATGCTGTATTAAGTTACTGCTAATGCAAACTGAACAATTCCTGCTGCGGCAGCTTCACATTAAAAGCATTTAACTGGCCAAACACAAGTTGACTTTTATTTTGAAGTAGACCCAGGAAATGCAATCTGTTTGTGAGATCACCGCAGACCGCTCTGATTCATCAAAAATGCGTCTACACAACAAGACGTCATTTTCAACAGTTTTCTGACAGTGGACCAGTTTGAAATATTGCAGTGAGTAATGCAATAGTCAGGAGCAGACACAGTGAGCTGTTAGATAAAGAGCTGCAGTTGACAGGCTGCACACCTCCCCCTTCTCAGCCAAGTAACCAAATCCTTTCACTTTTGCTGTTCGCAGACTCATGTTGTGTGCAGCATAAAGTCAGATCATGACTGCTCACATAATTATGGAAAAAACAAATAACCATTAGACCATAGTTTGTTTAACTGCCCCAGACTTCTAACTAACTTTTTACTTTTACCAAGTAGATTTTTATACTGGTAATTTTACTTGTACTTTTACTACTACTTTTACTTGTAAAAGTTCATCAAAGTAATAGTACTTTTACTTAAGTAGAATGTTTTTATACTCTTTACACCTCTGGAATACAAAAAAGAAAAACCCCACTAATCAGCCCTGTCGTAATGTCTTGGCGCATTTCTACCTCTAGACCAGTAAAAACTACGGTATTTTACAAACAGCTGATTGATACCAGAGAGATGACACTTACTTATATCCTGTCTGTCTTATTTTGCAGACATATGACCTGAATGTGACCCTGCCCGGCCTGAAAAAAGACACACAGACTCTCATGATCAGTCTTCTTCCTGGTAAGACTGCACTTATTTATTTATTCAGAACAATTAGCGTGCTTGTAACAGAAGTATGTAATCGCCTTTCGATAACCTTGATTAGTTAAATACTAATCAAGCGAAACGCCAAACATTTAACAGCTTCAATGTTGCAAATGTAATTTAGATATTTAAATGTATATTTGAGTTTCAGACTGTTGATTGGACAAATTGAGCAATTTGAATTGCTGCTTTGGAAAATTGTGATGAACATTTCTCTCTGTTTTCTTTTAGAATAAAAGATAAATCAATTAATTTAAATAAAACAAACAGCAAATAGATCACTACATTTTGAATGTTGGTGCTGTTTTAGTTGAAAAAGCACAGCTTACTCCCCACAGTCATGGGGGGTTGGTAATGATAATAAACCTCCTTTTGGTAACTTGAGACATTTCAGCCGCAGTGCAAAACTAGCAGCTGTTATCCAGCTGTGGTTTAAGTTGTCTGTTGGCTGCTAACATTAACATAAGGACCAAACCACCATCTTGTCAGCGGCATCTTATCTTTCTATGTGTAAATAATCACAGTTTCTCAGCTGCATGATGATGTGTTTCAGGTCATCCACATTCCCTCCGTGTGATGCCAGAAGACAACCCAATCGTAGTAGAGAATGGAAACCCTGCCAGGTTTAATGTTGAAATTCACGATGAGGCTGGAAACATCACCGCTCACCCCAAACAGACTGTTCGCTGCAAGGTATCGGTGTGAAGATCTTCGAACTATTACAAGGAGCATTTTCATTTATCAGCCTGTAGTTCAGCACCCTGCTGCGTAAGTTGGATTTACTGAAGCTGGGATGTCTGTCCGCTTCTCATGAGAAAACTGACTTCAGACTGAACAGACATACTGAAAAAATGTGTTTTGACAGCAGTATTTCAATTCATCTAGTTTAGCAAGGGATGTCTGTCTTATGAGAATTTTTAGTGCTCTTGCATAACAGTTTATCCTGTTTGCCAGCTAAAGGAAAAACTCCCAGCGGGAACAATTAAAACTCTCATTGAAAAGCATCTTAGTCATCATCTCATTAGAAGAAAGGGAAAACAAGAGGGCCTTTCAATCCCAGAGGGAACTCACACATTATTGGGGTTTTAAATCTCACAACTTAAGAACAAAAGAAATAAACCACAACTGAAGCAACTTTGTTTTTGTAACATACAGTTTGTTAAATGTGCTGAATTTATGGATCCAAATTATGGATTTTTTTTTTTGCAGAAACCTCAAGACCCTTCTCTCCTTTTGATGTATAAGTTACTATTTACATAATAAAATAGTTTTAAGGTAGTGCTCTCATCTCTCTGGGTCTCCTATTTTAACCCTCCCTCTTTCTTTTGACTCTGTTATATAATCTGAATGATCATGAATAAATAGTTTGCGTCAGTTTGCTTATCCTCATCTTTTTATTTCTGAATTTCAGGTTCAGGGGCTTGAACCGGTGTCAACTGACTGCAGCAGCACAGGAGCAGGACAGCTTGTGACGCAGCCTGTAAACCTGAAAATAATCAAGGGAGAGCCACAAAAGCTTAAAGTTCAATTTGAGATTCTTGTAAGTGGAGAAAAAAACCCTTTCTGCTTAGTAGAACATTCTCTGATTTAAAACCTTGATGTCTCCGTCCCTTCTTTGTTTTCCCTTAAGAGTCAGAAGAACATTGCGATGGTCGCGAGGGAGCTGAAGGTGGTTCCCAGCACGAGAGTCTCCTGGATGGAGCTCTGCAGTGAGGATGATGAGAATCTGGTGCTCAGGAACAACGAAAAGATAGAATGGCTTGCTGGAGGCGTGCTGGAGAACCTGTTCTATAGGCTGTATGATGAGGCCGGCAGAGAGGTACCTCTCACTGCTGAAATAGCCTCCAGCATCAAGGTGCTTATATTATACATTGTCTTCCCCTTGTGTTTGCTGATTCGTACCCTGTTATGCAGATGTTGGTTTTGTAAATGTCAGCTCTGTTTTTTTCATCTGGAAAGATTCCAGTAGTTTGGGTGTGTGGTGACTGAATAAAACAAACCACAGTCCTGCAATAAATCTGCTATTTAAGGAGTCATTGTACTTGAACTGTTGTTAGCTTATTGCTGACTTGTCATTGTTAACTCTTGACTGTGTTTAAGGTGAACTGGAGGACTACAGGAGATTTAAGTCTTGAAGACTTGGTCAAAGGGAAGCTGCCTGATGTACAGGTTCCCACGCAGGTGCACGAAGAGCGCTTCTACCAGGTGTCCTACCAAAACCAGAGTGTGTCTGTCTCCTTTAACATAGTGTAAGCTACATACCTGACTCAAAGCTGTGATTCAGTGTTTGCAACCGTAAAGGAAGAGTTAATTTAGGAAAATCTACTTATTTGCTTTCTTGCAGCTTCTTCTTGAAGAATTAGAAGTGATGTCTGTATGGTAAATATGAAGCTACAGCAAGTTAGCTTAACTTTACTTAAGTCTGGAACGGGAGGGAAACGGCTAGCCTGGCACATCAAGTTCACAAATGAACACATTTAATTTGTTCAAAAACTGAAGTGTAAAAGCGACATGTTGGGGTTCAGACACAGCCAGGCTAGTAGTTCACTGTTTCTAGTCTTTATGCTAAGCTAAGCACACCTTCTCCTTGCTATTAGCCTCATAAAAGACAGTGGTATTGATATTGTCATCTAATCTGCAGCAAGAAAGAAAATATATGTCCAGACTTGTATCTTTCAAAGTCTACCTCCTTGCTGGTTGTGTTTGTAGGCCTCGTCCAGATGAACCAACACGGCTCAAAGCAACTCTTTCCCAAAGCACAGTGAAGCTGGGTGAAACCCTACCTGGAAAAATCAGTGAGTACGACCCTAATCACCCAAAAAAAACTTACTTTTGAGGATATGGTTTCACACTAAATAACACACCTCTTTCTCATATAGTCTTGGAGCTTGTGGACCAGTACGACAATGTAACCAAGACGCTTACCTCCACCTGTGTGAACCACATGACTGTGGAAGCGGAGGGTCTGGACAAATCAGCCATCGGCTTTGTGTGGCAGGTGAGAAAAGAGTTTAAATATAAATTTCATTTAAAATTTGTAAATGAAAGAACTGTTAAAATGTAGTCTTTCACTCATGCTGTCTTCATTCTAGATCAGCCTTCTCCAAACTTTGAGGTTATCTTTTAGTTTAAAAAAATACTATCAGATGTTTCGTAGCCAGTTGTGGGTCCAAATGTCCTACGGATTTTCTTTTATAACAGGGAATTAGGATTAGGATAATAGGATTAGTCCCCCCCCCCCCTCCCCCCTGCACCTTAATCGCCTTACCCATCTTTCTCTCTATCTCCAGAGATAGTTAGGCAACAAAGTAATAAAACTGATAAGGAAGACTTCCTAAATGAATTTTCTCTGAAAAGAAAGTAAACATTCCTTCTCTACTTGGGCGGCATCAGAAGCATTCCTGACCCACCGAAGAGCGTTTGTAGCTTGACTGAACGTTTTTTGATTTATTGCCTATAAATTTGCTGCTCATTTAATGTTTTTGTTAACCAGCTGTTTGTGAGGTGAACTTACACCATATATTCAAATAGATTTTTCACTAAAATAGGAGTGAGTAGAAGACTGATGTTTTTTTAGTTCCTTAATAAAGTAAATAAATGGTGTACTGTACAGTCTTGAGGGCCATGTACTTGAGTATTTACATTTTTGTTGCTTTACTGACCAACTAAAGGGTAGATATTGTACTTTTTACTCCACTACATTTATTTTACAGCTGTAGTTACTTGTTACTTTGCAGAAACAGATTTTAAAAACCTATAATGACTATATCAAATTCTAGGGCTCAACTAACAGTTATTTTCATAATTGATTCATCTGCCGATTATTTTCTCAATATATATATAAATCTTTAAATCAGTATACCCAAGTTTGAATGCCACTTGTAATAGTTTCCTTTATTGTGCAGCTAGTGGATATTGTGGAAGTAAACTGTTTGTTGTGCTTGTACTGTATGTTTATTCTTCTGCACAGGTCTTTCTTAAAAAAGAAACTTTGATCTCAATGAGACTACCCGTTTAAATAAAGGATTCAATAAATAATAAATACTGTATAATAATATAATAGTGACAGGGACCATTCTACGTAATGAGCACTTGTACTTTTGATGCTTTAAATACATCTTGCCATTCAAGATTTGTAACAAAATATTTTGAGGTCGTTTTACCAATACTTAAGTAAACGATTTGAATACTTCTTCCATAACTGTGTACATTTACCGATGAGTACTCTGTATGTCGTCATTAGGAGAGCAGCCGTTCTGTTCTGGTAACGGGGGTGCAGTTCCAGTCTGGGACACCTGGCTTCAGAGAGGTGTGCTTCACCTACAGGAGCTTTGTAGCACGCGTCAAAGTTAAAGTGACCGCTGGAGCCCCTGCACAGCTTAAACTAGTCAGTGAGCCGGAGAAGGTAAGAAAGGATTTAACCTGGTCGACTACAGGGCTAAGATGTTGACCATGTAATCAAAGCCTCCTGATGTGAGTCCAGATGGGGACCTTTGCTTCATGTCATCTAGTCCCACATTTCCTGTCTCCTCTACTATACAAAATAAAAGCTTAAATACCCTAAATAATTTAAAAAACTAAACTAAAAACTTTTTTTCATGCAAAAGCCTTTGCAGGTGTTGAATGACCGCGGCATCGCCACACCGTTCCTCATCCAACTGTGTGACAAGTGGGGAAACCTCTCTCCAGACCAGAGGGTTGTTGTGGAATTGACGTCTTCACCTGCAACTCTGAAGGTTAGGTTGACGAGGAATAAGAATATATACCATTTACCCAGTTCCATGTATGCTTTTCAAAAAGTGAGTAACTCATGAGATGTACAGAATGATCTAACCAGATTAATGCAATGAGATCTGTTTGTTGTTTTAGGTGACGACAGCTTATATTTCTAAACCTGTGAACACAGAAGGGAAAGCCTCTTTCACTGTTAATAGTGTGAGCGGACCAAAGTGAGTGGCACTTTAAAAAAGGGAGTGTTTTTTTCAGTTCACCAAATCAGGGATTGTTTCAGATACAGTCCTGTATTAGGACACAGTCTATGTCCCATCAATCACCAGTGGGGGTGTTGTTACCCTGTTGTTCCACTAGGGGGTACTATCAGCTGATGTTTAAAGGTTCCTTCAACAATAAACCCATCCCTGGTCCATCAGTGAATCTCACCGTCATCCCTGATCCAAACAAACCGGTCAGCCTGTCAGTGGAGTATGATGACAAAGCCAAGTTACCTGCCGGAGGCAAATTCCCAGGTTTGAATCTCTACTGTATCTCTATTTTTTTTTCTGTTTGTTGAGCTCTTGTTTCACAGCCAGTTTAATGTCCGTCTTAGCAAACTAAGGTCGTGTGTGTGTGTGTGTGTGTGTGTGTGTGTGTGTGTTCAGTGTTCTTGGTGACCGTGCTGTCTGATGAAGGAAGCGCAATGAAGAATTTTAACCCTGCTGCGGCGGCCATGTTGCTTTGGAAAGGAGTGCCATCAGGAACAATTCCTCCACAGACGGTGAGTGACTGACCGACAGAGGGACTGTCACTGATTTTGTTTTTGCCTTTCTTTTAACCTAATATCTGACCTGTTGAATTTATTCTTCTACTTTTCTTGTCTAGGCCATTGAGCTGAAGTGTAGTAAACCATTGGAGAATGAAAAGAAAGACTGTTTTCACTTCAGGTAAAATGCTTTTTGCTTGTTGTTGAATGTTTAAAGAAATAGTTTTTAGACTTTTTAGAAAGAGAGAATGCTTATTTGCTTTCTTACTGAGAGTTAGATGTGAAGATTGATACCACACTTCTGTTTGTATGATAATTATAAGATAAATGCAAGCAGCCGGTTAGTTAGCTTAGCATAAAACTGGAAACCAGGGGAAACGGCTCATCTGGCTCAGCCCAACAGTAACAAAATTCAGGCAACGGCCAGAGACTCCAGGAAGTTCCTGCTCCCAGTCAAGAAATAGTATACCACATTACCACCTGTAAAACTGCCAATTGAAGTTTTTACACTTCAGATTTGGTACGATTCAAACAAACAACATATAAAATTTTAATTACTGAGCTTTAGAGGTAGATTTTGTTCCCGTTGGACAGAGCCAGGCTAGCTGTTCCCATCTCTTTTGAGTCTATGCGCTAAGCTAAGTGCGAATATGTGTATTTTCCAAAATGTCAAACTATTCCTTCAGAAAATGTAAATATTGTTTTTGTTTTGTTTCACTGCAGAGATAAAGAGATCCCAGAACACGTTGGAAAGTACAGCATCCAATTTTCTCTACGTATAGACAAGAAATTCCTGTTCAGTGATCAGGTTGGTCGAAACTTAAATCTGGAAACATCACACCGTTTTAATGAATTATTCCCAGACACCCAATAGTTGTCTTTAAAAAGAAAACTGAGCAAACGGAGATGATCTCATTATTGTCTTTAATATCTGTTTAACAGGAAGGTGGTTGTTCACTGAGTTGTTGCAGGGGTCATACTCCTGACTCGCTCAGATAAATACCTAACCTCTGTTCTGTTTCCTGTCTCCTAGATTACTGTAAATGTGGTGGCCAATCAACCTGTCAAAGTGGGACCTGAATCACAGCCACCAACCCCAGTTGTTTCCTACAGTAAGGCCATCGGCAATAGAACCTTGGTGGAGAATATGACTCTGAGGATAATGGTGAGCTTATATCCTTGGAGTGCGTTCATGTTTACGTGTTGGAAAAGAGCAGCCTAAACTTTCCACTTAGATGTATGAATTTTATATGCTTAGTTTGGGTGCCTATCAGCTGATACACAGCCTGACTGAGCTGCTTTGACTTCTCGCAGGATTCATATGGAAACCCAGCCGGACAGGACCTGGACGGAAAGGTGGTCGTTTCTATAATGCACTCTAGTGGAGACAGCAGCAACACCCTCCCTCTGTTTGAAGGCAAAGCCAAAGGCTTTCAGTTTGGCTTGGAAGAAGGAAAGGTCCACATCAATGTGAGTGACCATTTGTCTTAGACATTTTTATATCCTCGTATGCAAGGGCGCCATGGTGCACATATGATAAATGTATACATTTCTTCTGCACAGCGGCTGGCTATCATGGAGAACAGCCCGGGTGAGAACGGCAGTTCATACGTCCTCCTCTTCAAACCGGAAGTGCCGATGGTTTCCACGCCCCTGGCTCCTTTTGAGCTCCCCTTTCATTTTTACAATGGTATGATATAAAAAACATCATTCATTAACACAGTCCTACTGCTGCATGAATATGAGTTCTGACACTGACTCACATCGAGTGATTACATGGTTATGGGTTTCAGAGTAAATATATGCAAATATGTTTGACTGAAACTCTTCACATCTTATTTTATTTTCAAAAATTGTATTTTCTCAGCAGCCGTGCTGAGATTTATTTGCTCAGGTTTTGAGAGATATACACCTATACAATGGAGGTGAATCAAATTTAATTTCTGTTAATTACAGCATAAAAAATGTCATGTAAGAGAAACTTCACATTCTTTTTTTGTTGTTGTTTTTATTCTTTTGCGCTACATATTCTTGTTGGCTTATTATTTTAATACTGGTACATTTTCCCAAGAGTACACGTATAGTGCCTCTCCAAATTAGCTTGTGTTTTTTTTGCAGGTGAAAGGCCAGTTAAGCTGAATTCTGTGGTATCTTCACAAATGTCACATATATTACATTCATTGACCCTCCCAACTGTTGTAGCAGTTTGTTAGTAGTAGTATAGCAGCATTAGTAGTAGTAACTCTGGCTAACCTGCTCTTTTCCAGTGAGACTATAATGACACTTGTCAGGGTAGCTAATAGCTAAATGTGGATTGAATTAAAAATGGCCTTAAGTGACTAAGAACTCTATCATTACTTAAGCTAAGGAGAGCCGACACTAGCTATGTGGACCTAACTCCAGTGGAGACAGGACCTCCACCTGGTGTGATCATGTCGTTATCCATGCTTGTCATCTCAACTATGTTTCCAAGCCTCCGCACAGCTTGCACACACCTAGCCTCCACTCGCCTATTTTTTTTTTCAACACACTTTTCTGGGAGGAGCCAGGCATTGAAGGTGTAGAGACACTTTGTCGCTGTTACTCTAAGAAATCAAAAAAAAACTATTTCTTTGGTAAAAAGCAATCCTGCTGAGGACCACTCACAGCAAGATGCCAATGTAACCAAGGCATTGTTTCTGGAAAGTCAACAATGCTGTTTCTAAATATTATTTTTCAATGCAACAAAATTCTTTTCTCCATACTTGTATTGGGGCGGTGGCAAAAAGTTCTGCAAATTCTTATTTTGCTTGAACTAATCTTTTAATGTTTGTCTATTGTATCTTTTGTATCTTTTTCTGTTTTTAGATGCAGAGAACCAACGTAAAATATCGGAGTGGTCCAGGAAGAAAGATGAGCTCACTGATGCTGTGACTAAATATAAAGAAACCTTCAATTCATATAGTGAACTCCTTACTTTGCTGACCAGTAAGATGTGATTTTTCTATCTCCCAAATAAGCTAATATTATGTCTACTTGAGTCATTTGACTGTGCAGTGTGCTACCAGCCATGTGTAGAGCAGGGTATAGTTTCAGTACATATATATAAATAATAATAACCATTTTCTACAAATCCTTTTTTTGTTGTTTTTTTTACAAAGATGTCACAGACTTGTATGTAAATGTATGTTTAAAAAATATTAAAACCCAGCCCTATTTGTGTCTATCTATCCTTTTGTATCTGTATCTGCCAATATGAGTTTGAAATGGTCTCTAACTGCAAATACTTCTTCCACACTAGAGCAACACCTGGATTATAAAACAAAAGAGGCTATGCACAGAAGAGAGCTAAACAAGAGGAATGTGAAAATACCACAAACTGTTTCTGTAAGATGTTCATTCTCACTCAACACAATCAACACTTCTGTATATGTAGACATTATGATATCCTCTATATATATTTATCAGGAGATGACTTGAGTGGTTTGTATTCCTTGTAGATCCCAGATATTGACAGACTTCTAACCGAGAAGACCGCTGAAGCCGGCATGCTCCTGAATGTGCCCAGAAGAGTCTGCTCCATCCGTGATCACTTCAGGGGGCAGCCGGATGTTCTGGGAATGGTAATGTCATACGAAATAAGGGCTTTTCTGTCCGCTTAGCACATTTAAAAACCTAATGTGTAATTTCAGGAAAGTGTGCCCTCCATGCAGATGCGTCCAATCAGTGTTTGGGCTAATATATGAGTTTAGTGGGGCGAAAGACGAAGGGTTTGAGAGTAGCTTTTGCCAGACTGAAGAAAGTATTCTCACAGATTGGAAAATAAACTGCGGGACAAGTGCAGAGTGGTGTGTTTTACCCTTTACATTTTGTATTTAGGTTGGCCACCTGGCCTATGTGGAGGACGATGCCGCTGCGACGGTGATCTCCTGGCATATCCGCGGTGACATGGATTGCGTCATCACCACAACGACAGCAGCAGCACGGAGGATCTTTGATAACACACAAGGCAGGCAGCAGGTCATGGCCCTTGACAGTGTGTATGTGCCACCGGGCAACAGGTACGCCTTCTGTGTCACTTTTGTGACACTGAAAAGTTCAGTTTGACAGTGGATATTGTGAAGTTTAAAGCTGTAGCCTAACACCATGTTCACACTTCCACCATCAATTATTTCACTATTGCTGTCGGCGTCAGAGTAGCTTTCCTGATGGGATTCCTGTGTGTCCTTGATTATAGTCTTTACTTTCTAAGCCTTTTCCTACCCAAGCCTTCCATCAACAGTAATTTAAAGATCTTGAGGTAACTCCTTGCAGAGGAGGGTGCTATACAACTAAGTAACAAAGTAACTAAGCACACCTGAAGTCCTGCCTTTTAATTCATCAAGGTCAATACATTTCAATTCAGGTTATGATCATGCAAGTTAATGCTTGCTTTGAAACTTGGGCAATAAAAAGTGGAGCATCTGATACATCTTCAGTCATGAGAGACAAATTATTATTATTAGTAGTAGTATCATAAGAAGGAGAGCAGCTTCCTTCCTGCTTCCTTCTTTGTGGTGGCTAATTGTGTGTTGATGACAGTTACTTAAAGGCCCGTGTTGCATGTTTTAGCAAGTTTTACATCACAGCTACTCATTTAGCAAACCGTGCTGTACAGTTGGAGATTTTAGAACGTTTTTTCAACACCATTAACGACATTTGTTGTTGGTTATAATACAGCGTCTTGTGTGGTAATGCGATGTCAGTCTGCATGGCATTACTATTTGGGTTGCACCTAAAGATTCTTGTTATTATTGATTGATATACAGATCATTTGTTTTGATTAATCGATTAAGTTTGACCTATAAAATGGTGTAATAAAAGCCTATGGTGGAAAAGCGGTCCCAAAACTGAAAATATTTAATGAAATCATCACAAATTAGAAGCTGAAACTAAACGTAACCCTTCGATTAAGAGAGAAAATAATGCGCAGATTATTTACATTTCACTGTTATAGTCTGATGTAGTAAAGAAACACTAGTCTGCTCCTCTTAAACATGTTTGCTACTTTTGGAGCAAAGATCATCTCTGCAGTTTCTCTACTAAGATTTGAATTGCTTACAGACCGCTGCCACACATAAGAAATGGCCACATGCTCTTTGACCCCCCTGGGAACCCAGTCTACGCCAGACAGCTGCTGATTTACACCGAACACCTCGAGAGCTGTGAAATTGGTGAGCTGCCTTCAATGGATTTGCCTTGTTCAGTGTAAAATTGCTTGTTGTTGTTTTTTTCATTGTAGATTGATAGTACGAGTCCAGTTTTCTTTGGTTTTCTTTTAGAGGCTTCCCAGGTCTCTTTATGTTTGCCGTTGTTGGGGTATTTCCTTCATGCCCCTGCTACTCCTCTTGAGTCTTTGGTAAATGGTTCCAGCTGGGATCCAACCTCACAGCAGTGGAGGGGTCCTCTCCCGGGGCCCCGTCACTTAAGCAGAAATTGGTCCTCTTTTAGCACAATAAAATTACTGTTCATTTGGAAATTTTCTGGAGTTTTGATTTTTGAGTAAAAGTTGGTTCCTTGTATTTATTCAGGTACAGGAAATTATAGTTTAATGTATCAGATTAACATTCTACCTCTTTCAAGCTTGTTTACACTGAAACATAAATGTGTATAATAGGCATCTCAAATAAACATAAAGAAGAAGTTATAAATGGAAGTTTGTTGCTTGTGCTTCCTTTTGCAGTGTTTAAAAACATCCTTGGTGATACTATTCTCATTGATGACCTGGACTCTGCAAACAACTACAGAAGGGCGGTGAGTGGTGCTTGCTGCTAGAGACGTGCCATATATGAACAGTCCGGTGATTATTTTTACTCTAAATATGCCGTCGCTTCCAGGTGGTGCAGAATAAGATGCAGTGTCCCACCATCCTGACCAAGCAGGGGGACAGGATCAGTTCCAGGGGGAAGTTCGGAGGCACACAGAACAAATGCCCACCTATGAACACATTACAAGTGTTTGGAGCCCCCCTCCCACATCAATACTACACTCTTCAGGAAGAAATAGGTGACATCTCATAGGCCCATTCTAAAGTTAATTTATGTGCTTCAGTCAGATTGTGATTTAGTTTCTCTTATTTTGTTCGACAGACTTGATCACTCAGTACCGGTCAGTTCTGGATAAGACGGTTGAGGCAGCAATACACCGTGACGATCACTTAAAAGCCATGAAGTCTCCTAACATGTTGAAAAAGCAACAGGAAATGGAGGAGAAAATGAAACGACTGAAAGAGATTGAGAGACAGCTTGGTATGTTTGTTGACCGGGGAGTAAGAGCAGAGAGTACAGTTCAAGTGTTTTACTTTTGTAATCTATTGTTGATTTCAAATTTGTCTGTATCTACTTTTAGAGTCAGCCTCAGTAAGACCAGGGAAGCGGGGTCCTGATGCCGGTGAGCCATCCGGCATCATTCCAAAGAGAGGAAGACAGAGATCCACATAAGAGGTGGACTAGTCCAACTTGATTACCTTCTTGGGTAATTTTATTTTATTTTGGAGTTGGTTATGTTTTTGAAATTCATCTTTATTTGTACAGATGTGTTGTCTTATATGTGTTAATACTTTTGTAATAATTTGCTTATGACAACGTTATGTACACGCATGATATATCTCAAATAATGTCTGGATTCTTTATATAAGAAAATACATATTTACCAAAATCTCTCTTTCTCTGTGTCCTTATTTCTACTTTGTAAAATTTTATTGAAGTTACTAACAACAACAACAACAACAAAAAGATATTTTACCAGGAGATAATCATGGTGCCTTTTTGAAACAAAGACAATCATTATCCAAATTAGACCTCCGGAAATTATGGTCTATCACATGATTTTTGGATGCTAAAATAAAGTTGGAGGTTGGATTTTGTGCCCGCGTGTGTGCGCGCGCGCGCCTGTGTGTGTGTGTGTGTGTGTTCGGAGAAACGGGGAAAAAGGCATCTGTCAGTACTGGGGAGGGGAGGGGGGGTCCGAAACGTCACATCTGAGCTACATCTGGAAGGAGCTTGTTTAAGTCTGCGCACCACAGAGGAAACAACCCGCGGTGCCTTCACTGATCACTGGACCACAGACCTTCACACAGAGAACAATCTAAAAGATACTGGAGTTTTTAATTTTTTTTTTTTAAACAATCTATATTTTAAACATGAGGCGCGGACTGCCACTTATTCACTTTTTAATAGCTGTTCCTCTCATCAGTGGATCACCTTTCCAACATAGCATGTCCCAGGGCAGCGGAACACGTCAGAGAAATAAGTGAGTGATCTGGATTTCTATAGTTTATGTCTTGTTTGCATTTTGACGAAAATATATTTGCTTTGATGGCGCACTTCACTTATCCTTTTCTGCGCGTAAATAAATCTAAGCACTTGTGGAAAGGTAGTCCATGCAGTGAATATACGCAACGCAGCTTTCTGCATCAGGAGTGATTAGCCGGTGATTTTCTGCAGAAACTGGTGCGCCTACGTTGTGCACAAGAACGTGAGCTGTGCCGTCGTGGGAGGTACGGAGAGTTTCGTGCAGCCAGAGGTTCTACCGTGTCCGCTGGAGCTGCCAAACTGTGCGCAACAAGTGATGTAAGTTCCCAGAACTGGGTGGAGGGAAGACTTCTTTTGTTAGTATTTTTTAAGAACTTGAAGCAATACTGATGCCCTTATACAGTGTGGATTGATGCTCTGACAAAACGCTGATATTAAAAAGCCTGTTTTTGGATTGGTCAGTGTGTCTGAGGTAGCTGTTATTATGTTTTTATAGTCTTGTTTAAGTTCCCCTGTGTTCTAGTATATGTTCTTCTTCTTCTTCACAGTTGTGTTATGTTGTCATACTATACATAGTTTTTATTTCTTCAACGCCACACCTTGTAGATATTAGTGAATTTGCCACTATGTCATATTTACAGTGTACTTATTGGGCTTAGCTGTTGTGTTTATTTTCTTGAAATCAATGGCTCTTAATAGGGACTAATATAAATGAGCTTCACTCTTAGATTCTTAAAAACGTGACTTGTAAACGAAAATGCCTGAAAATTCAGGCTTTTTGTGTTGAATCTTCATGAATGGCAAACATGGAACCACACTACTCTGACTTTGCCTTTTGTTTTGATTCAGCATTCATTGAGCAACAAACACATGAGAGAGATGTAGTTAATCATGGGTTGGCAGTGCCACGTGATCCAACAGTTTCCTCATAAAAATAAGTCTTTAGCTTCTTCCAGCCAAGTGCATGATTAATTAATTGCAAATGGGACTTGTGATTATCTAGTTATAAAAGTCTCTATTGAGCATCTAATGAGCAGAAATGTTCTCAAATGTTTTCATGCCTCCATGTGCTTTCAGATATCAGACACACTTTAGGCCCATGTATAAGATTGCATACAAGACTGTAACAGAGCTGGAGTGGAGGTGCTGCCCGGGGTACCAGGGCCACAACTGTATGGAAGTGAAAGACATAAAGCTACTCCAAGTGGAGCGTTTGCCTCATGCTCCCTCTTCCTCTGGACATACTCCAGCCCAACAAGGTGAAAGACGTGATTATAACTAAGGAAATCTAGCATGAAAATATGTGAAACAAAATGAAACAAGTACATAAATGCTGGAAAAATGTCATAATCAAAGCATTTGTATTTCTGTTTCCCAAACCTCTCTGTTTTTCTCACTGCAGCTCCAGTAAGGCAAACAGAGGGCCAGAGGAACCATCCATGGGGAGGGGAGGGGCAGTTTGGAGGTCAGACAGGTCACAGGCCACTGGGGGGTCATGGAGAATCTCAAAGCTCACAACACCTGGAGGAGGAGGTGCAACGACTGTCCCAGATGGTCCTTGACATGCAGGCCAAAATGACAGACATGTCCTCCAATCTGAGACTGGATTTCCAAGAGGATGCCAGTAAAATGCTGGCTACGCTGCTGCACGACTTCAGACAGCCAGCCAGTGCGAGAGGTGCAGAGACCCAAACCATTCAGACGCAAGACTTTTTTTCTCTGCATGAGACAACTCAGATGGACGAGGTCATGAACAAGATCAGCCAGGTCACAGACGATCTGGAGTCAAAGACCATTACTCTGGATGACCTGCTGGGCCGTGTCAACCGCCACGACGGACAAATTCACCTGTTAATGGAGGCCACCCAGAAACATCTGTCCACAACCCCTCTTACTGCCCCGGCCAGTGACTCAGACCTGCGTGGCTACCTGGACGAGAAGATCCGTGCTCTGAGAGAGGAGTTAATGGAGGGTATGGAAATCAAACTGGCAGACTTGAAAAACTCATGCGATTATAAAATCCTGTCAGTCCGCGAGCAGTGTGACGGACAAGAAGCCAACTACCTCAGCCTGGCCGAGCTCATGGACTCAAAGGAGACTGACCTCCGCAACGAGATCCAGGAACTTAAGACCAAGATGGTTGATCCAGGAAAGGAAGACCCCCGGGTATCTGACTCTGTTCTGGCTCATGTGGAGAACCTTGAGATCCGTCAGAACTCATCTCAGAGGACTGTACTGGCCCAGTGCCTCTCTGTGGAGGAGAAGCTAAAGAAAGAACGGACAGAGGCCATCAAAGACCTGAGGGAGACTCTGGAGGACAAGCTGTCCTCCATGGAAGACAGGCTCACCACCCTGTTGGTAGATACAAGCACCAACTCCCCATTTGGTGGTCAGTCAGAGAGTGTGGATGCTCTGCAGAGGGACATTAACTCTCTAAAGGGCTCCTTACAAACTCTGGAGGATCGATTTGACGTCTTGGACCAGCAGTGCTCAAAGGAGTGCAAGGGTAATTTGACTGGTGTTGTAGAAAACATTCAGCAAGACTTCCAGAGCTGCAGAGCTGCTGTAGATGCTATGGAAACTAGTCTAAAAGCCCAGAAAAATGGTCTCCAAGCCATGGAGGGGCAACTCCTTAACTACAGCACCAACATTGAGAATGTACACGGCAAGTTGAGCTATCTGAAAGGGCGCGTGGGCAGGTTGGAGTACTCGCTATCAGGTGTAGACCACCAGCAGTCTCATTCTCAGAGTCTCAACACCACAGCAGGGGCTGAACAAGAGGCTATAGACCTTATGGATCTCCACAGGACTCAGCATCATGAGTTGAGAAACCGGCTGGACGAGCTGGGAAGGCAGGTGAAAGCCAGGACCGACAACTGCAAGGAACAAACGGAAGATGTCGGGAAGGCGATTGCCCACATGGACAGCCGCATTGTTAGTGTGGAGACTTTATGCAGCAAGCTGGACCCTATCTCCAGTAGCCTCCAAAGGATCAAAGAGGGTCTGAATAAACACGTCACTGGGTTGTGGACTTGTGTTGAGCAGCTGAATGGTACAGTCAGAGCTCATGCCCGAGATATTGGAGGACTTAGGGGAACTTGTCAGAACCTCCAGAGCCACATCTCTAATGTAGCCAGAGACCTCCAGGTGCTAACGCAAAGCAATCCTTGGAAGACAGGTAAGCCGTAGATACTGTATGATAAACATAATTGCCATTGTGGTTTTAACTTTTGAAAGAGTACATAATGCATTCTCCTTACAAATGAAATGTTAAATCCCTAAGCAATGAAAGACACTCTTGTCATTACACTGAAGGGTTTTGACCACTAGCTTATGATAGCTAATGTCACTACTGTTGCTGACTCACAGACTCTATAACTATTATCTGCTTGTGCTTGTGCTGTCACTTGTGGCCACAGTGGCCGCTCTTCAGTAAAAGTTTCATAGTTTTGCTTTGAACCACATTTCTCCAGGCTAAGTCTGATTTAGTATCCACAAACGTTTTAATTAGACGCTTGAGATCAACCAAATAGTAATATTTCCCAACCTTTTGCATCATTGCTGTGTTATTTGAGTGGCTGCAATATCGGGGGGTGTTTTCGGTGTGTGATTGAGAGGAAGTTGGATTTTCATTTAACCATGTTCTCAGTTAAAGGAGGCAGAGCTGATTGAAGACACATGCTTGATTTAATAGACCCCACTTGTGTTGAGCAATGCCTTGGCCTAAATAAATATTGCTCACTTGGCTTTTTTGTGCGTCCAAGTTTGCATTAATTTATTTGAATGTGTCCATGAACTCATGTGAAAACATCAGGTTGATCTTGTTCACCTAGTTTAATATCATGTGGATCTTTAGCTATTTGTTTATCATTAATGCTGGATGTTACTGTAAGTTGCTTTGTTGCATTTTTGAGAGAATAGATTTTCAGATCAGTGCATATGTTGCATACCTCTTGTACAATTAATGGTGCCTATGAGACCAAGCTGGACTTCTGAGTCTCTCAGTTGTAAATGTGAACTAGAAGCACGCCCATAATGTTAACGAGCTTCCTCTGGGACCGGCTAGTTTTCAGTCAGTGGTTTATAGTGCAGGTGATGCAGCACATGATCCAGTCCAGAATCTCATTGGAGGAGAGCTGGAATAAAGTAATCCTGGTTCTTGTTCTGGTTCTGGTCCAAGGTTTTTTTGAATCAAGATATGTTTTCAGTTTTGCTTCTCTGTAGCTGTGAGATGACAGTTTTCTCATTTTTGCCAATCTGTGATGACTTGGGACACGTTGCCACTCCACTCCTTGTTGTCATTAAATGTCATTTTATTTGTCATTCTGTCATTGGGAAGTTTCGCAAGCGGGCGCACAATTATTCATGATTTCCACTCGTGCTCGATGATGTTACGGGGGCCCTTTTG